GGCGGGGCCAGTGCATGACGGAATCGGCCAACGCTTCGTTAGCGGCTGGCCGGCGCCCGCCTGGAGGGGCGGCAGCGCTGACGAAAGCGGCCGCCGCGAGAGAGGGCGCAGGGCTGCGACACAGAGTGCGCTGCAGCCGGGCTGCCGCGCCCCGGGCGGCTGTTTAGGTTGCCGTGCTGCCGGGCGGCAGGAAGGTGCCAGGAGGCAGCTCACAGCGAAACTGCAGTTGTGAACTTCCACGGCGCGCTGACTGGACCTTGATGCAACCGCACCAGGCAATTTCAGACCACTGGGCGTACGCCTGTGCAGAGCCCCGCCCCCGCACACAGCTGGCGCTGCCTGCACCCCGGCACTGATTATATCAAATTGCGCGCCGCCGCGTGTGCCCTGCTGACCTGCACCCCCAGGCAACTGCACGTACAGCCAGGTGCAGTCCATCAACGAGAGGGACGTTCACCCTGTGGTGCAGCAGCTGGTCAAAACAGCCTTCTTCCGGTACTTCAAGGTTTGACCAGCCGGGGCGTGAGAGGACCCAAACTCGTGGCCTGGGGTCCGCCCTCACTCGATTGGATAGCTGGGCATGGAGGGTTGCGGATGCAGTGCTTGGGGTTCGAGCTTGCCCATTTTGTTGACTCGGCCAGAGTTGACTGAAAAGAGGTGGTTCATGCATGCTCCTTCACGCTGCAGAGGAAGCATGAACATCTTGCTTTTGCTTCAAATTTGCTCTTATCAAAAACCTTTTGCTTCAAATTTGCTCTAATCAAACACCTGTTGCCCCTTGACCCTCAGAACGGTGATCTTCACCGGCTGCATACCGCACGCGGCCGCAGGTCAACATCTACTGCGACTGCCCGTTGTGGCCGGACGACAGCATGTGCATGATGCGCGCGTGCAGCGTCTGCGAGTGCGACGAGGGGGAGGTACCAAAGACGTGGCTGGCGGCGGAGCGGGGGCTGCTCAAGGGGGGCTCGGACCAGAAGTGCCATGGACTGCCGCAGCCGGACTGCAGCGCGGCGGACTGTGGGTGGCCGCGCGCGCGGCGCGCGCGCCAGCTGCCTCATGGACGCGGCCCCAGCGAGGGTGCTAGGGGGCTGGCTTGCGCGCATGACGAGGGGCAGCCAATCATGTATGTTGGCTGTTGGGTGTTGAGTTGCAGCGGGTGCAGGCCGACCTGCCCGTCCCCCATATTGAACCCTCAAAACTGTCTCGCCTCCCCTCTGCGCCTGGCCCTAAACCCTAAACCTTAATTATTGTCTGCGCCCCACCCCACTTCGGCAGGCGCCATTGAGATGGAGTCGCAGGTAGATAAGAAGATCGAGCCGGGCATGAAGAAGCGCCTGCAGCATCTTAAGGTGGGCTGGCAGGGACCGCGGGCGGGCACGAGGGTGGCGGCTGCGAGGGGCGGCGGGCCTATGATGGTTTGGGTTGGGCTGGTGTTGGGGGCACAGTTGCATTGCAAGTTGAGGGGCGGGGCCGCAACGTGAAATGGGGTTCCAGCACATGGGGAGCTGGGGTGGGGCTGCAGGGGTGGGGAGGCGGCCCGATTGGTGGGGGCTTGTGGGTTACAAAGCAGGGGTTTTGCAAACATTGCACGTACATGTTATCAGGGTGGCCTATGATTTGCATGCCTCCCCCACACATAAATGCTCGCACGCACACACTCACGTCTGCACACACTTTTGCACCAACACCTGTTCAGCTGGGTGCCTGCCAATTGTGGCACACGCTGCCCTCCTTTACTTGTTTATTTATGTCATCAGGGGTGGCGGGGCATCAACAACCCCTGGATGGCAGAGGGTGATGACGGGGAGGACTACCTGTACATCAACCTGCTGACTAATCCGGAGCGGTACACTGGGTACAAGGTGCGGCGCCGAAGGGGTGCCCGATGAGGCGCCTCCATGCGCGTGCACATGCACACAAGCACACACACATGCAAGCGCACACAACCACATACACACACACACACACACACACGCACACGCGCTCGCGAGCACACACACACACACACACACACACACACACACGCATGCTTGCACGCACACACACGCGCGCACGTGCGTAAACACACACACACACACACACACACACACACACACACACATGCACGAACAACACACACATGCGCGCGCATGCACACACACACACACACACATGCGCTCGCACGTACGTGATTGCCGGCCGCCGCCCCAACCCGTCCCAACCACGCTCGGAGTCAAACACCCACGTTTCGCCACCCCCCTCACACAAAACCAGGGCGAGCACGCGCACCGCATCTGGAAGGCGATCTACGACACGATCGACTGCGCCGCGCGCGAGGCGGGGCAGTGCACCGAGGCTCGCGTCTTCCAGCGCCTGGTCAGCGGCATGCACACGTCGATATCCACCCACCTGACGGCCTACTGGCTGCTTGATGAGGACAAGGGGGTGTGGGGGCCAAACATGGCCGAGTTCAGGTGGGAGGGGGGAGCGTGGGTCTGAGTGTGTGTGTGTGTGTGTGTGTGTGTGCGCGCGCGTGTGTGTGTGTGTGTGTGCGCGTGTGTGGATGCGAGTGTATGTGCACGTAACCGCGTAGTTGCGTGTGAGGCACTTGCTAAGCAGAGGGTGAAGGGGCCTTACCCTGCTGACCGGTTGAAAGGCGAGGGCGGGTGATGGCCTGTACGCTGCCGCCTGGGATGTGACAGCACCGCGCGCTCGCGGGTGGCGTCGTGCCATCCGCACAAGCACGTTTGCCTCCGCCCCCAAAAGACGCCCCTGCGCGTCGTAGCATGCGTCAATGCCGCATGCGCCGCCGCACCGAAATTCCCTCCCCACGCCCCACTCCCCCTTTCCAAACTCACAATCGCCTCGCCGGCCCCTCCGGACGCCGCATCGCCTCCGCCGCGTGCGTGCGCCGCCCCCCCCCCCCCCAGGCGGCGCTTCACGTCTCCAGAGGCTCTTGAGCGGGTGCAGAACCTGTACTTTGCGTACCTCTTTGTTCTGCGGGCCGTCCTCAAGGCGGGCCCCATCCTGTCTGAGCTGTCCTACGACACGGGGCTGCCCCAGGAGGACGCGCGCAC